TCTCTCTCTCTCTCTCTCTCTCTCTCTCTTTGGTCTTGTCTCACTATCGTTTCTCGTAAAGTGCACGCAACCCCTTCCTTTTCTTCCTTTTCTTCTTTTTCCTCCTCTTCTTCTCGGACGTCGCCTTCTTATTCGCGTTGCTACGTGTTCCATGGGCCCAGTAGCGATTCGTCCACGGTCGCTCGTGCGGTAAATCAGGCCACGTTGACGTTTAATGCCGGCAAATTACACGCGGAATAAATACTCGCGAGGAACGAGGTGCCGGTGTCTACTCTCACGACACGAAATCGCGCTCCACCGAAAAGAGAGGAAAGCCTCGAACCGAAGATATTCGATCGCGCTTCGTCGAGTGCCTTCGTGTCCGACACGTTCGTTCTCCTTCGAATCTTAACGATTTACCGTCCTCACCGCAGGCAATGGTTTATCTCAACGAGCACAACGTGATGCACCGTGACATACGCGGCAATAACATTTTACTGACCAAAGAGGGCGACGTGAAGTTGGTCGATTTCGGGCTATCGAAGATGTATCAGAGTGAAATGGGGAAGAGGTACACGTGCGTAGGATCGCCGAGTTGGATGGCACCGGAAGTGGCCATCAGCAAAGGGAACAGTTCCGAAGGATACGGGAGCAGAGCGGACGTCTGGGCGATCGGTATCACGGCGATCGAGTTAGCTGACGGGAAGCCACCGTTTCAAGACATGTACCCGACCAGAGCGTTGTTCCAGATCGTTCGAAACCCACCACCGAATTTGTACAGGCCGTCCAACTGGTCGCAAAATTTCAACGATTTCATCGCCGAGTATGTTCAAACGCTATACATATTTTCTACGTCGTCGACGCCCGATCAATGTCGTTCAATGTCGTTCCAGATGTCTCGAGAAAAATCCCGAGAACAGGCCGTTTATGGCGGAAATAGCCGAGCATCCATTCTTAGCGGATTTGCCGGAGGAGGATTTTCTGGTAACGCAGTAAAACGATTTTTCTGGAATAGCCCTAGTATCCCAAATAGAAAAAGTAATAACAGATGTTTCTAGCTGGCGAAAGAAATCAAGATATTAATGATGGACGCCGGTGTGAAAGGCAAATACGAGAGGAGACCGGAAGTAATAGTGCGAAAAGGTCTGCTGAAGGTAACGTTTTGAGTAAACAGGTCGCTGGATATTTATATTGTCGCTAAATGTACCTCACTTCCGTCTATTCTCTAGACTCATCAAACCGATCCTTTGGAGCCTATGTTCATGGAGGATTTGGCTGCGCTCGAAGTGCTCACGGAGGACGCGATTTTGGACGAGCTGCACGAGAGACTACGGCAAGGTTACTTCCACAGCTTCATTGGCGATATCCTTTTGATTTTGAATCCGAATGAGAAACAAGACATTTACGGATCCGATGTAAGGATCGTTCATCGACCATGCCTCGCTGAATGAGATCGCGAGTTAAATTCAACTCTTCCACTGTTGATTCCAGTATCACACGAAATACCAATTCAAGTCGCGTTCGGATAACGCGCCTCACATATACTCTGTAGCCGACAGCGCCTATCAGGACGTGCTGCACCACGAGGTGGTCCAGCATATTTTACTAGCCGGCGAGAGCAATTCGGGGAAAACGACCAACATGATGCACCTCGTTCAGCATCTCATGTACCTGGGGAAAGTAAGCGATCACCGCTGAAGCGTACGCTGAATCGCGTAAACAGGAAAAGCTACTTCCCGACCGATCGTTCGTTTAATTTCAGAGCCTTCAAGACATCGGTGCGAGATTAATGCGAGCTATCAAAATGATTCACGCTTTCAGCAACGCCGCCACGCCGCTCAACACCAATTCGACCAGATGCGTGCTGCAGATAGAGACCACGTATGGAAGTTCCGGGAAAGCGTCCGGCGCCATATTTTGGCTGTATCAGCTGGAAAAATGGCGCGTTTCTACCCGCGACAGGTTGGAATCGGTGTCTGCTATTCACGCTAGTGCGCATTACCGAGTTTCACGCGAGTAGTAACTAGCAATTTGCTCGTACATTAGATTTCGAGATTGCGCGGCAACCTCGCCTTCGGTAGATCTAATCGTACGTTTATCAATTGGCCGCGGTGGCTACGAGATCACCAGGTCTATCTTCTCCGCAGAAATCAATCGAATTTTCACGTGATGTACTACTTTTACGACGGCCTCGACGCCACGAGCAAACTGAAACAGTATCACTTGCCACCGGGCAGAAGGATGCGGTACCTGAGGATCAGCGAGAAAGGAACGGAGAGGAAACGATCGTTCAAAGTTCGCAACGATCCGCGCGGCAACGTGGCCAAGTTCGAAGAGCTGAAGGAGAATCTAAGAGTCTTGGAAATGGAGGAGTATTGCGAGACGATCTGGAGGATATTGGCGGCGATCTTAATACTGGGAGAAATTCGTTTCGTCGAAGGTAACGACGGAGAGGCTGACATGGACAACAACGACGCGGCCAACAGAGGTGCGAAATTCACTTGATATTCTATCGAGTGAAGGTTTATAGCTAAATGATTCTCTCTTCGTATTTCAGTCGCCCAACTTCTCAACCTCGATGAAAAGAAATTTAATTGGGCGTTGCTTAATTATTGCGTGGTCGTGAAAGGGAACGCTGTACGAAGAAAGCACAGCTGCGAAGAAGCGAAAGAAGCGAGAGACGTATTAGCTAACACGATCTATCAGCGGCTGGTCGACTGGATAGTGAACACTATCAATTTCAAATTTACGGTTACTCGTTCTCTATTGTGAGTTCAATCATGGCTAATCACCGTGGTTTTATCTAAAATAACACGGGTTAACATGTTTCAGCGGTGACAAATACGCGATTAACATAATGGACCTGTTTGGATTCGAGTGTTTCGCGGTAAATCGACTCGAGCAGTTGGTGGTGAACACGATGAACGAACAGATGCAGTGTTATTACAACCAGAGGGTATTCGCTTGGGAAATGGTAAGGTCTCGTACTGTAAAATTCCACGGGAGTTTACAGGTGTTTACAAGATTCTCATAGGCGAAAACAATCTTGATTCATAGCAAGAACAAGAAGAGGAAGACATACCGATACAGCGTTTGCATTTTTACGACAACAAAGACGCGATAGATCAATTGATGAGCAAAGACAGAGGTTTATTTAGTGTAATCGACGAAGCATCGAAAAATATGCTCGATTATCAATATATCATGAACAAAATCCAACAACGAGCGGACAATCTTTACATAAAACCGGTGAGTTCTCACGAATTTACCATCGCTCATTACACAGGAAAATTGCTTTACGACGCTAGCGAGATTGCCGAGAAGAACCGGGAGTTCGTCCCTCCGGAAATGATCGAAACGTTCAGGCAATCCACCATCGAAAGCATGAAAGAGATGTTCACGAATAAACTGACGAAATCTGGGAATTTGACGGTTGTCGTTGACCATCCAAAAATCGCGGAGAAGAAGACGAGCAAAGGGAAATGGGGCGCGCTGATGCAGGAGACGTCGAAACCAAGGGTGAGATCGCTTAATATTTAATTTCAATTCCTGCACTTTCGTAAGACTGACAAGCATTTCGTAAGAAAGAAAACTGTAAGCAGAAGAGTAAGAGAAAACGATACGATAATGTAATCTACGGTCTACCGACGAAATGGAAAAGTAATCAAAGTGTAAAGATTGTAAGATCATCTCGAGATTGTTATTTTACAAACAGAAATATAACACCGCATCCCGAGGGCAATACTCCCAGACACGGAAAATGAGAACCTGCGCGGCTACCTTTAAATCCACCAGCCTTGAAATCCTTAAGAACCTTTCGGCAGGTGGCGAAAGTGGTGGTATCCACTTCATCAGATGTATAAGATCCGATCTCGAAGGGGCGCCACGT